GCATAGAAGAACTCACATCATATTTGAGCAGTCATCTGAGAATTTGTAAATGCATCTTCAGTAAACTAAGTTATATGTTTCAAAAAAAAAAAAAAAAGCCCAAGCATTAGGACAGTATCATTAATTCACAATCTTTACAGTGTAACTTGTACAGCTGCTTAGCACATGAAGAATGAAGACAATGTGAATCATTCACAAAAGAACAAAGAGGCTAAATCCAGGGAGACCTAGACTTTGGAATTAGGGGATGAGAAAAAACAAAAAACCTTAAATTATGCACAGTGACACAGGGAAGGTGTTCTAATGCTCAAAAATGAAGTGGCAGAGAAGATTAGGAGCTATAAAAAATATAAATGATAATTGTAGAAACAAATAAATGTGAAATAAAAATGACCGTGGTTGGGATTAGCCATTTAATGAGGATGGAGAGGAAAGACAGAGACGTCCAGGAACTGCTCAAGAATGAGGAATAGCATCAACAAAAAGATGGAAGTGATCAACTGGGCTTTGTAGACATGTGGCTAAGAGCTGAAAAACCCAGTGTACATGTTATTAGAATTTCAGAAGAAAGAGCAGAAAGAAGCAATTAAAGAGATCTTAAAGTTTGCGACATGTGTGGATATCATATTGATGGAATCTAGAAACCCAGTGAAGGCTAAGGAAGATCAAACAGAAAACCATAATTTTGTGTATATTTCTCTATATTCTGAAAGCAGACAGAAAAATGGCACATTAAATAAGGAGAATTTGATTGCAGAAACTTTGAACTCTTATCAGAAAATTTCAAGGTTAAAAGACAGTAGAACATACATTTTTAATTTCTAAAAGAAAAATGCGTCAACTCAGAATCATATGTGTGATTAAAAAATATCATTAAAGAGTTATGACCAACAGGAAATTATTTTCAGATAAAATAAAAATGGCAAGAATTTGTTGTCAGCAGATCTGCACCATAAAGGATGCCAAAGGAAATTCTTTAGGCTAAAGTGAAATAACTCCATATGGAAGCTCAGATGCTGTGAAACAAAGAACGCTTGAAGACATATACATTTTTATGATTGTTTCCTTCCACTGTCATTAAAGTATGTGTGTCTATTTTAAAATATTAAAAAATCATTTCTTGGTATTTTCTAGATTATAGGGAGAAATACAAAGGTATATTAATGCATATGTATAGTTATAGAATTACTACTTTTGTTGTGAAGCATTATGCTGTTCCAAGTACTTAATGGAATATTAATTCAGGACAACCAGCTTCTAGCTAAACTGACAACCTAAAATATATTTAAAGAATCTAAAAAGAATGCTGAAAGGTAATGGGACAAATATAAATGCTAAGAGTGTTGATTTAAACTCAGGTATGTCAATAATTATGTTAAATGATAACAAGCATTCCAGTTGAAGTCTAAGACTATCATAATGGAAATGAAGTACAATTCTATAGTGTCTGCGTCACAGGTACTGTAAATATAAAGATGCAGATACATCAAGAGTAAAAGAATGTATTGTTTCATGAAAATAATATGAAAGGGCTGCATTTGTTAAATAGCATACAAAATGGACTTAATTACAAGGCAAACATATGGATAAGTCTCAGCAACATTATTGTGAATTAAGGAATCCAGACTTGGCGGACACGACGTGGTAGCCTGGTGGCTAAAGTCCTAGCCTTGCGTACACTGGGATCTCACATGGGTGCTGGTTCGCATGCCAGGTGTTCCATGTCCCTTCCAGCTCTCCGATTGTGATCTGGGAAGGCAGTAGAGGATGGCCTGCAGCCGTGTGGGAGACCTGACTGGAGGAAGCTCCTGGCTGCTGGCTTTGGATTGGCGCAGCTCTGGCTGTTGCAACTACATGGAGTGTGAACCAGAGGATAGAAGATCTTTCATTCTGTATCTCCTGTTCTGTTTATCTGCCTTTCCAATATAAATAAATAAATCTTGGCCCGGCACAGTAGCCTAGTAGCTAAAGGCCTAACCTTGCATGCACCAGGATCCCATATGGGTGCTGACTCTTGTCCCGGCTGCTCTCAAGTAAGGGAAACATTACAAGGAAGATGGTTAATATTGTTGTTATTAACGGGAAATGTTCAAACTCTCTGTGCTTCCTTTTTTGGCCATCATTGCAGCTAAACTTTTAAGCCTTTGACATTATGAATTAACAGGATGTTAAAGGTTGAAGAATTTAGTCTGAGAACAGCTCACATGTTTCACACTGGTCTGCCTTTCATGCCCGTGAACGGGACATCTGGCAGTTCTGAGGAACTGGCATCTCCAGGATGTAGGCTTGTTTGAGGCAGCTGAGTGGCCAACAGATTGCAGATTGGTCTGTTTGGTATCTTCGCCTTCAGTATGAACGTTTGCATAGCAAAGGGAAGAGCTTTGAAAGTGCAGTGGTGGCAGAAGATCCAGAGACTAAGGATTGGCCAAAAATGCTCGTAGATGCTGTGGAAGTAATAAAGGCATGAAACAATGAGCTTACCTTCATGCAATTTTTAATTTAGCCCAGGCCAGATAAATTCACAAGTGCAACTGACAATACCAAGGAGTTGAAACCACAACTTGATAGCACAGATAAATATTTCCCATGGTTGTAGTAAAGGAAGAAAATGGATAGGACTGATATAGGCTCAAGAATGCTTTGCTTACTAGGAAAGGATTAGGTAGTGTGAGACAGCGTGAACGAGGGGTGGCGTGGGGGAGTGTCAGCGGTACTGGGCTCCTGCAGCTGTGAAGGAAGGATTATTTAGGGCCACAATGAGCCTTGTGGACAAACAACTTTGTGACAGATTCTCAAAGGTCTACAGAGTCTTAAAGGGGATGTGAATTACTATTCAATTAGCTCTCCTCTTCTCTAGCAAGTACCTGCCTTTTGATCTCCAAGTATGTTACAATTTTCATCAAAAATAGCCAAAGCAGATTTATTCTTTAACTTCTGTAATGTTGTAAATTTGAGTGAAGTTAAAAGTAGCAGGGTTCTCAATCATAAAAACACTCAATAGTATATTAAAATATATGTAGTAAAAATTTGCCTTCTCAGTAAAAAGCTGTTATTGATCTGGATCAATGTGAGTTGAAAGATGAGAGAACTTTTCTTAAAACACACAAATGCTTCACTCACCTCAAGTGGTTTCTAACTGTTGTGATGTGTCAAAGTGGCGTAAGTGCCGTGTCATGTGTAAGTATGTGGTTGCAAATGACATAAGATTGTTAGCCAAGATCCTAACCCTAATTTAGGCTGCTTGAACATACCAAATTTCTTAAACTTTTTGAAACATCATTTGGATTTTTAGCCAGTGCTTGTTAGTGTAGTGAACATGTCTTTCATTGAGTTGCTCTAATTATCACACAAAGGTAAGAACAAATAAGCTCTGCAAAGAAGTTTTTGCACCTGTAGAGTTACACGTGCATGTTGTACCAAGGGTGATGCAGTTCAGAGTTGGAAGGTAGAGTGTGATTGCAGGGCTGTGGAGGGTAGGCATGAATAATTGTTGCTCAGAGAGTCTTAATTGCAGGATGAAAAGAGTTCTGGATTTTGCTGGTAGAACAAAGTGAATGTGGTATACATTACGGAAGAATGCTTAAAAAAATTAAGATGGTAAAGTTCATGTGTACTTTATTACAATTTGCTTCAAAAGAAAGAAATTATTATTAGCGTCAAAACCTTCAAAATCTTGGGAATTAATCTATCAAAGCATTTTTAAGGTGTGTGTATTAAACTCTAAGAAAATATTAAGAGAAATTAATGAAGACCTAAATAAATCAAGGGATGAACTTTGTTCATGGAGAACTAAAAATGTTTAAATGTCAAGTCCTTCCAGATTATCCTACATAATTAATGCAGCTCTTAACAAATTACCAGCAATTTGACTTTTAGCTTCTGTTTTCCGTGGAACTTCAGAATTCATATGGGATTGCTGAGGGCCGACGACAGCCCAGGCCTGCTGGAGCTGGACGAGTGGTAGTGCAGATAACAGCACCCATTGCAAAAGACGTTGCTGCTTAGCAGCAGCATGATGTGTGAGCTGACTGAAGTAGAATTTCTTTGGTTCTACCCCCAAACCCTACTGAATCTGAACTTATGGGACTGGGGCCAGTGATTTGATGTTTAACAAAGTTTCTAGGTTATTTTTTATGTATTTTCAAGCTTGAGAAGCAGTGAATTAGAATGTCTTGACACAGAAAAGAGAAACTAACCAGAGGAAGAGCTAGACCAGAAGCAGATCCATATGTGCATGGTCCATCTGATTTATGATAAAGGTGGCAGGCATTGCAGCACAGTGGGGAAAGGGTAGACTTTTCAGCACATGGCATTAGATAATTGATATATGCTCATGGAAGACATATGCCTTAACCGGTGTGTTGTAATATACGTATAATCAGTTCCAGATAAAACTAATATCCTAATATGAATACATTTTACATGTACATAAGTTGCAGATCCACCTGGATTATAGTCCTAAGTTTTATTTCATACATTTAATTATTCAAGTGCTGTTTCTTGGGAGACTATGTTCCCGGTTCTATCTAGGGAATACCAGGACACTCAAGCACCAGTTACTATGAATTTACGTTTCTGTTTCAGATAAGCCACCTTTGTATATCTCTGCCCCTGTGTGAAAGAAGAGGTTCCTTTCTTTGTTTCTTTCTTGAAATCCTATAATGGGCCAGGCACAGGGAAGGTACTGGTCAGCCAGATGTGTCAAGGGTACTTAAAAATTCTTAGAAAATGGAATTAAAATAGAAGTTTATTCTGGTATGAAAACTTTTATACTCCTAGAAACTGGGCAAATGCTCTGGTATCCCATGTGTTTCCAAATGGACTTCTATAATATAGATGGAAAAAAAAAACTTTCACTTTATCTCATGGAGTTTTTCGAATTGTCTGTGGCTGCATCCTGATATTTTTGGAAGAATGACTTTTGTTCTGCTAATAGTGGATCATCCTGTGTTTATGTCTTCTGACTTTGGTCTGTTTTTTTACCACCTCTCTTCTGTCAGTGTCTACTTTCGCAACCAAAGTTCTGGGCTATTCAGACATCAGCCTTGATGCTGCGGACAAAACTTGAGAGAGGAAGCACCCGCCGCGTGGAGCGCGCAATGAGGCAGACACAGGTAGGAGTTAATATGTTGTTTGCCTTCCAGCTCTCTGTTGCTGTAATAAAATGTATGTGTGGGGCTCCTGGTTTTGGTGCTTCGCAGGCCAAGGTCACGCAGGCTGGTTGGTAGGGCATCTGGTGGTGGTGTTCTTGCTGGCAGGCTCCCGAGGTGGTGCAGGGCATCGCCTGGCAGGATGCTGCACAGGTCTGTTCTTACACAGTGCCTGTGATTTGATGACAGGAGTTCCACCCAGCAATCAAATCCAGTCTGGCAAATTTCCAAAGATCCTCTCCTAAACACCATAAATGGATCGACTTTTCACCCTGTTAGTATAGTTGGCGTACAAGTTACAGGATGGGCCATTTAGCACCTGGGTCTTTTGGGGACTGTTCAAACTGGTGTCCATGCCACAGCACTCGCCTTCCAGCCTTGGTGATGTATGCCCTTTAGACCTTTTCTTTCTTTCTTCTTTTTTTTAAATTTAAATTTATATGTTTTTCTTGTAAAGGCAAATTTATATAGAGAAAGATCTTGTTTACTCCCCAAGGGGCAATTGTGGGGATCTGAAGCATGGAGCCAGAAGCTTCTTTTGGGTCTCCTGTGTGGGTGCAGGTCCCAAGGCTTTGGGCCGTCCTCAACTGCTTTCCCAAGCCACAAGCAGGGAGCTGGATGGGAAGTGGAGTATCTGGGACATGAACAAGAGCCCATATGGGATCCCAGTGTTTACAAGGCAAGGATTTAGCCACTAGGCTATCATGTTGGGCCCCTTTTAGAACTTTTTCTGTGAATAAATAGAGATTAACGTTTTAACAAATGGGAACCTGAGACTGGTGCTGTGATGCAGTTGGCCAATCTTGCCCCCTCTGTTGCCATCATTCTGTACTGTCACTGGTTCCTGTTCTAACCCTTCAATTTCAGATCCAGCTCTCTGCTTATAGCCTGGGAGGCAGCGGAGGATGGCTCAAGTCCTTCGGCCCTGTACTCACATGGGAGACCCCAATGAAGCTCCAGGTTTCTGGCTACAAATCAGCTCAGCTCTGGCCATTGTAGTTGTTTGAGAAGTTGATAGAGGATCTTCTTTCTCTCTCTGTATTTCCCCTTCACAATATAACTCCATCTTTTAAATAAAAATAAAAAATCTTAAAATAAATGGGATCCTGCTGTTTGTATTGTGTTATTCTTTTATATCTTGATATAAAAGATATAATGATATATCTTATATATTGATATCAAGATATAAAAGAATAACTATCAAGATATAAAAGAATAACTCTGTAAGTTATACACCAGTATCTGTGGATCTAGCTCATTTATTGTAAAAGCTTTGCGTCACTGTTGAAAGAGGTGCTATCATTTTTTTTTTTTTAAAGATTTATTTTTATTATTTTTTCATTGGAAAGGCAGATATACAGAGAGGAGAGACAGAGAGGAAGATCTTCCGTCCAATGATTCACACTCCAGGTGAGCGCAACGGCCGATGCTATGCCGATCCGAAGCCAGGAGCCTCTTGCGGGTCTCCCACGCGGGTGCAGGTTCCCAAAGCCTGGGGCCATCCTTGACTGCTTTCCCAGGCCACAGGCAGGGAGCTGGAAGGGAAGTGGGGCTGCCGGGATAGAACCAGCGCCCATATGGGATCCCGGGCGTGCAAGGTGAGGACCTTAACTACTGCGCCACTGTGCCGGGCCCCGAGGTGCTATCATCTTAACCAATCCCCTCAATTTGAAGATGCTATCTGATTTTTATTTTAATTTACACATTATGGTTCTGATTATATGCATTAAGTTATTATGATTAACAATTATAATATAAGAAATAATAGAAAAACATATAAGTAATACATTCTAGTCTCCTCAGAGTGATTTTCCTTTTAGAATCATTTATCTTTATTTGCAAAGCAGATTTACACAGAGGAGAGACTGAGAGAAAAAGAGATTTTCCATCCTCTTGTTCATTCCCCAAATGACCACAATGGCTGGAGCTGAACCTGTTTGAAACCAGGAGCCAGAAGCCAGGGGCTTCTTCTGAATCAACCACCTATAGAGGGTTGCAAGGACTTGAGCCATCCTCCAGTGCTTTCCCAGGCTGCAAGCAGGCAGCTGGATCATTAGTGGAGCAGCCAGGATCAAGCTGGCAGCCATTTGGGGTACTGGTGCCACAAGATAATTAGCCTGTTGAGCTACCCTTATTTTATTTACTTATTTACTTATTTGTTTATTTATTTTTTAATTTAAAAAAGCTGATTTACAGAGAGAGATGGAGAGACACAGAGAGAAATCTTCCATTCCTTGGTTCACTTCCCAAATGGCTGCAATAGCTGAAGCTAAGCTGATCTAAACCTAGGACCAGGAAATTCAGATCTCCCATGTAGGTATAGGGGTCCTTTTACTTGGACCATCTTCCACTGCTTTCCAAGGCACATTTAGGGCACTGCATCAGAAGCAGAGCAGCTGGGTTTTGAAGCGATTCCCCTATGGGACGCCAGCATTGCAGGTGGGGGCTTCACCGAACTGCATCATGACAGAGGCCCCAAATTAGAGTGATTTCTTTCCCCGATTCCCAGTCCTCGTTTTCACTGAGCAGCCTCTCTTCATTCTGCTTGGCACCTTCGTTGCCCAACCTACTGATTGTTTCTGGACATTGAGACTGGATAGCTGAGTATCCCCTTTTTGACAAGCTTGAATGTGAGCTTCTTGAGGGATGATTTTCTTCATTGTCCTTATTTTAATGTTCCCAGAATGGTCACTTAGTAGATGTTTACTAAATTCTGATCTGGAAAAAAAAATGAAATTTGAACTACCAGCTTATTAGCAGGGCTAATTGAGAATTTGCTAAGTTAAAGATTGTTTTGGTGATCTGAGAGCTGTGGAGGCCAGTGTTTCTGGGGTCAGTCCAGTACCTTTTCAGTGTGGTAACAAGCCCTAGTGCCAGAGCTACCAGGAAACAGGCAGTGGTTGCCAGCAGCTGAGGCTAAGGCAGAATTCCCAGGGGCGCTTCCCTGGGGGCTGGCTGCGATTTAATTAAGGAGAGGGAAAAAATAAAAAGGCTTGCCCATTTTTTCCTATGGGGTTTCCTAAAAATAATATTGAATTAATGTGTAAATCATTGTTCTTTGCGATCATCAAAAGTGATAAGAGATGGGAGTTCATGAATGGGCTCCTAAACTGGAAATAGATACACGCTGTATACTTCAGCACACCAGAAAACAGCACCTTTTGTCTGTATAAAGAACTGATGTTTTGTTTGTATTAAAGGCTCCTTTCTGTGTTCATGTCTCAGAATATTCTTGTTCTTTGTATATTTTCTCATATCTTCTTCACAAAATATAATCATTCCCTCCCTCTGCACGCCGCCCCTGGCTCCCCCCCCCCCCCCCCCCGCCGCCCCTCTGCCCGCTGCCCCTGGCCCTGGCCACTGGCCACGGCCCCGGCCCTCTGCCCCCCGCCCCAGTACCCCACCCCTCTGCCTGCTGCCCCTGGCCCCGGCCCTGCCCCTCTACCCGCTGCCTCTGGCCCCGGCCCTGCCCTTCTCTGCCCATGTAATACTTGGCAGGCTTGGATGTAGCCTAGAGGTGGAACTGTTTTTGTGAATGGAGAATCTACGATTCTGGGGCTAATGAAAGACTGAAGTCAACGTGGAGCACTTGATCCAGTAACTGAAGCTCACTTAGTTGTGTTTGGCTTGCCAATATTTTGATAGGATTTTAGAATTTGAAAAACTTCATTTGATGTTCATGCTTATTTTGAATATATTTATCCTAAAAGCAAGGTGCTTTATGAGGCAGATTGTAGTTTGCAGCTGTTCAAGTCTTGATAATATTACTTTAGAAAAATTTTTAAACATTTCTCCTAAGAATTTTTTTGATTTAAGGAGCAAAAATTAAACTCAGATTGGCCATTTGACAGAAACTTACTTGTTGTTACAGCTGTGAAACCTATGAGTATTCCAGGCTCAGTCTCAGAAAGAAAGTCATGGTGGAGCCAGTGGTGGTGGCACACTGGGTTAAAGCACTGCCTGTGGTGCTGCCATTCTTTATGAATGCCAGTTCAAGTCCTAGCTGCTCTGCTTGCTGCTGCTTGGGGAGTGGACCAGCAGAGAGCTCTCAGAAAATGTCCATAACTCTGCCTTTCAAACAAATAAATAAGTCTTCCTAAAAGTTCATGAGAGGACTGTGGCTGTTGTGTAGGATGTTAAGCCATCACCTGTGTTGCCAGAGTCCTGTGTGGGAGCTGGTTCAAACCCTGGCTGCTTCTCTTTGGATGATGCTCCTTGCTAATGAGCCTGGGCAAGCAGTGCAGGATGGCCCAATTGTCTGGGCCCCTGCACCTACATGAGAGACTCAAAACAGGCTCTCGGCTCCTGGCTTCATCCTGACCCAGCCTTGGTGACTAGAAGACTGTATCACCCCCTCTCTCTGTAACTCTGCCTTTCAGATAAGTAAAAGTGGATCTCTGTTTTTCACCTTCATTCTCAGCTCTGCTTTTCTTTGTGTTCTTGCTATCACAAAATTGTTGTCAGGTAAGTGCCAGATTGCATTGTCTGTGGACTTCACAATCTTAGAGGAAGAGAGATTATGTTTTTGCTGTGGTGAAAGTTCAGCTCCCTAACCTGCTGTGCTTGACTTGTCTGGTGGGTAGGAGAGCAGCTCTGCTGGCCTCATTTCTGTGTTGAGGAATTGAATGTGTTAGTATTCATGGAATGCTTGAAACAGTGCTTGGCACACACTGGACCCTCAATGTTGACTGTTGTTGTTCTCACTTTATGGGAGGGAAACTTGAGGTATTAAGAAAGGTAAAACTGGGCCCGGCAGCATGGTCTAGCGGCTAAAGTCCTTGCCTTGAGCATGCTGGGATCGCATATGGGCGCCGGTTCTAATCCCGGCTGCTCCACTTCCCATCCAGCTCCCTGCTTGTGGCCTGGAAGAACAGTTGAGGACAGTCCAAAGCCTTGGGATCCTGCACCCACGTGGGAGACCTGGAGGAAGTTCCTGGCTCGCGGCTTCAGATCGACACAGCACC